TGCTGGGAAGCAGCTCGTGGTGCTGCTGCTGCTGCACCTTCTGGTCTGTGCTGTCCTTAGGCATCTGCCCTTAGCTGTAATTGGACCCGGTGTGTAGGAAGGCTGAGGAAGCATGCCAAAAATGTGAAGGTAGCATATGTAATGCAAGCTTGGGTCTTGCTTGGTCTGCTCCTGCTGTTAGTCAGTCACCACCTGAGACGCTGTGACCTTTCTGCAAACTGTAAACACAGGCTAAAGATTAAATTAGTATATATACCCATGTACAGATTAGAAGCCATCTTTTATTGGTGGTAGTTGTGCTTAGGCCCATTTTATTACTCAGGTATTGCTTACCACAGCAAAGAATCTGCATTCTGTTATGTAATAAACAGGAATGCATACAGATCCTATTTTTTATGTAGAATATGTATTTTTTTATCTGTTATACACTGTATATTTATAAATGTAAATAATGTATTCATATGCGTAAGGTATGTCTGCTAACTTACTGGAGCTTATTTAGGGCTAGAGAGAAGGGATGTTCTTTACTGCAGAAGGGAGGTGGGAAATAGTAGAGACTGAAGAAAAAAGTGACTGCTTTCATTCCCTTGGTTTAGTTTTCAGTTCACTGCATTTTTCTACTTGTAGAAAAGAATAGCAGGTAGAATTGGACTTTGCCCAAATGGCTGTGGAGTAGTGGTTTGCTCTTCATGCTGGTACTACTGAGGATTTTTAACAAGCAAGGTAGGTGGTGGGTGTGTAAACAGTGAGCAGCCTTTCTTTCCTTCATACCAATGGCTGATTTAAAAGAGGGTTTGAAGATAAGACAGGGGTTGGACAGAATGTTTTGGTTAGTGTTCTCCTTTTTCATCACCTCTAATTTCTGGAGATCTGCACTGGTATCTAGTGTTTTCATACCAAAATGGTATGTGTGTGGTATGTGAAAGAGTAGTCTGTGTGCAGCCTGTTTCTTTCAGAACTAGATTATTTAATAGCTTCTAGGCATCCATCTCTCCTTAGAGAAGAACAGTGATCTGTGTTTTGCTTTTGAATCTTCTGTGACTCCTACAGTCCCTGTCTTTCCTCCCCCTGTGTTTCTGCATTGAATTGTGGATAGCTTGTATCTCATTTCCTGGTGGTGAATGGTTGGGTCACTCCTTTTCATCATACAGAGCAGAGAATAAATTGGCTTTCTCAATATATCCGTAATGTCCCATGATACATCAAGTTGATATCAAGGTATCTGTGGAGAAGGCTGTGAAGTGATGAAAAGTGTGCCGGAGGTGGTGCTCTCTAAAGTAAGAGGACATCAAGTAATGTCTATAGCAAATAATAGGACTCTCTCCTGTGTCTTTGTTCTGGTTTCCCTTAAGTCTGTTCTGTAGCTGGAGTTGCACTCAGGTGGGATTTTCTGCAGCTGATTTTACTTGTGACTCAGTTCTAGAGTAACTTTTTGCAGGTGGATTGTTAGTGTGTAGGGGAAATGCCTGTTCTGTTCTGGTAGGTGAGTATGGATCCTGGTGAGTCTTCCAATTATGCTTGCAGAAAGATTGGCTTATGGGCTTTTTGACTGTTCTCTCTGCTTCCCTTCTATTACTTGGAGTGAACATAATAGTTGTTTTATTTCAGCCTTAGTCAGAAGCATTTAGGGCAATTTGACTACAGCTATGAAGGCAGCAGTGCTTCCTAACCTAGTTGTGGTAGAGGCTGAGTCATGAGCTTAAAGAGAGAGGGTCTTTGGTTTTGCATTGATATCGTCTTCAGGTTATTCTCATTTAGAAAAAGAAAATGGTCTGATTAAACTTCAGAAGTGTTTTATGATATGTTTGGAGCCTATCTTACATAGAATGGAGTTGAGAGGAAGTTGCTGTATGTCACAAATTCCTTTGTGTTTGCTTGTTGCATGTAACAGTAATGAGGTTGCACAAAGGGGTTTTTGTGAGGCATTGAGAAAATTCTTCATTTGTGTGTCTAGAGCTATATATGTTCATATTGAGTCAGTTTTGCTATTGCCACGCTCTTACTTCAGCAGAGGTAAGAGTCAGCTTGAAAGTTGGCATTGTTGCAGCTTCCTACAGGAAACAGTGAAAATATAGCTTGCTGCTGGACAGCCGCAGTGGAGAGAATGGAAGTGGAGCTGCTGGTTAGGCTTGAAACTTTGCCAGGAGGATGCGTGACTTCTGCTCTTCCCTTGTCTATCTGTCTGTGCCTTCCCGTGTTTCAGTCCTCAATACTGCAGTGACTTGATAGTTCTCGCTCATCTCAGTTGTTTTTAACAGCATTGATTTCAGTGTTAATGTCCTGCGTGATCTGCATGCTCTTTATCTAGTGCCCAAGTATGATTTTAGGGTATTTCTTTTACAGATTGTTCTTTATTTTTTAAAAAAGCTTCTCCTCTTTTCTGCTTGTTGCCAGCAGAGGCAGTGTTTGCTTGTTCCCAACTACAGAGAAGCTATAACCAGAGGCAGAGACTTCTCACCTGACAGTGTCCATCTGTCCCATATCTGGCAACCTTCAGGACACTGTAGTTTGTGCTTTTGGAGCTGTTGTGAGAATGCTGTCTCTTTGCTTCTCATGACTTTCATGTAGTTATCACGGCACTATTGGTTTTACCTACTACTAACAATTCAGCACGGAGAAGGTTAAGGTAAATCTGTCCCTAGTTCTGCAGGCAGACCTGCAGTTCTGACACGTTCTTCAGAGCTAGTGACTCACAACAAATAGAATTTAAAGAAAGCTCTGATATTCTGGAGTGTAATGGCCCAACCGATAATGCATTTATTCCAGCCTTGTAGCTTTGGTGACCCAGGCACAACTCAGAGGAGATGCCTCAGGGAAGGAAAAGAATCCCAGCTGGGGACCTTCCAGGTAGCTTAAAGAAAGAAACACGAGCACTGCAGTTTCAACTTGTCAGATGATTTATTTTTTTTTCTGCCCAGCAAGATGAATAAACTCTTCCTGAATTAATCTGGGTGACACTTCCTCCTTTTGTTTCCCCTAGAACTTTGAGCTTCTGATCTGGAATAAAGCTCAATCTGCTAAGTAATGTTCTTTGTGCTACAGCTTTTAATCCATAGTACTACTTGTGTAGCAGCAGAACTGTGGAACCAAGAATCAAAGGTGAAAGGGATCAGAGAGGTGCAGCCTGTATTGTGAGAGTGAATGTGTGCGTGTTAGGAATGAATGTCAGTTTACAAGAGGACAAAGACACTGAATGATGTTAGGCAGGGAACTCTTAATTCTTGTTAGAGCTTTGCTGTTTTCTTTATGTGATGAGCAGGAAGGCAGTTCCTTGAGCTGTATCTGAAGTGGCTGAAGATTGACATAAGTGTTCAGTGAAGTGTAAGCTTAGCAAAATGCTGACTGAAAGCAGCGCCCGTTGACTTTTTTAGAGGGCCTCTTATTGCTGCAGATGAGTACAGTTAACCTTTAGATCTTAAAAATAGTGTGGGGGAATGGGTGAAGAATAGCCTTAAGGAAGTTCTAGTGTGAAAAGGGAACTGTACCTTGTTGTAATAAGGGTTTTAACAATGGCTTGCCAAGGGAATGGAGAAACCAAGTTGAAACTTTAGGTCAGTAACCGTGCTGTAGCCCAATAAAAAGGGGAAGGAGAAAAGCTCAACTCTATAATTGCCAGATCAGTGAAGAACAGAACACTTGAACTGACTACAGATGTAACAAAAAGTCATTCTCTGGTTATGTTGCAGTATGGATGATCTATGACTCAGCTGTGATTACAGTAGTTTCAAACAATCCTTTTTGTTGAAAGTCATCATTCTGAACTTTCAAAATTACTTAATTTTAAATTACTACAGGGGGGATAATAATGTGAAAGTTTGACTCGGGGAGATGTTCTGGCTTTTGAGAACAAGAAAATAGTTGGCTGACTGTGATTAGCAGGGTATCGAGAACATCTTTTCACTGAATTCCAGGGGCTTCAGTCTTCTTGCCAACATAAATATGGGTGTCTCTCTAATAGCAGAATTACCTCAGATTAGTTTGTGTTTTTGAAAGTTTATGGTATGAAATACGCAATCCATCTTAATACCTCACTGTTTTAAGAAAACAGGGAGTTAAACGTTGAATCGGGCGCTCCTTTTTGCTCTGGGTGTTTTGAAGAGAACAGTAGCCTCCTCTTACTAAAAAAAAAAAAAACAAAAAACCAAAAACAAAAACTTCTCTCATGTTTGTAACTGACACACAGTGCTTTAGAAGCTGAGCCACGCTCACTGACAACACACTTCAGATGGCTGCGCAGACCTGAACAGGGGCTGCAGGTATTTCAGTGGTGTTCTCCAGCACTCCTGAAGCTTCCGTTACTTGACGTGTGGCCTGGTAAGAATTGGCTTGTGCTCACTGCTAGGTAGGGAGAGTATTCCTCTCTTTGTAGGGCAACATCCAGTTAGCACCAAATGCTCCAGTCTTTTGCCTTTCTTGAGTTCTGTAAGGAAGTTAACTGCTCTGCTGATGGGAACAGACACCTTACTGCTCTGCTAAACGCAGGCTATGCCAGGTAGAGGGTAGATATTCAGGCACACGATGCTGCCTGTGTCCTCTGAAATTCACATGAAAAAAATTTCTAATGTCATCTTTGATCTCTGATGTGATAATTAAATCCACTCAGCACGTTCTGGCAAATCTGAAATGCCTTCTGGTACAGCCTCGTGCAGTTGAAAATACTTGGTCTTGAAAGAAACCCTTCTGAACGTAACGTCAGTGGCTTTTCTCAGCTGATACCTAGTTGTTATTTCACTTGGTCCTGTCTTTATTCCTTCAAGTGGACCCCAAATCTATTTCCAGCATGCATAAAGGAGGCTTTTGTGTTGCACTCAAGTCCTCATGAATGATTTCAGTGAAATGACAAAGGACCAAAGGCATGAAAACTTGCAAAATCTTGTGCTTGTCTGTGTACATGCATAGTAAAGTGTATTTCCTGTGAGGAAAAGTTGTTGTCGCACAGGTTTTAGCACTTCGAGCTAAGTGTTCCTGGACTTAATTTTCTTTTTTATGTTCACTTTAAGGTTACATGATGGAATTCACGTTTTCTCAAGAAGAGTTGCATATCTTAGGTCAGTACCGTTGAAGATACCTTCTGATTGCAACACCCCAAGCACAGTCCTGTAACAAATTTGCTGGAAGAACGCATACAATGGATCTCAAAGAAAGCTGCCCAAGTGTTAGCATTCCCAGCTCTGATGAACACAGAGAGAAGAAAAAAAGGTTTACTGTAAGTATATGAGTATAAGCATTGTAGGGAAATGTGTAGGTTATCGCTACTTGGAAGTGTTATTTGTTTTCAATAGTGAGCTTGTTTCTATTTTGAACAAGTTTACAGAAATCTGTTCACTTGCTCTTGTGAGTACTGGCCATAGTCCAGTGTGAGAAGCTGTGAATGTTTTACAGTGCTTAACTACTTTCTGCAAAAACAATTTGACTTTGCAAATTTCTGATACTCCCCCTCCACCCACCCTCAAATAGCAATGTTTTATGTCTTATAAAATATGGAAGTTTTCAAATGTGAGTATAACGTTTTAGTGCCAAATCAAATTCAAATTTGGCATCCTACGTGATTTATTTTTGATGAAAACATTCATTTTGTAAAGGAATAAAATATGTTTATGAACTTGCCATTTTTTTGTAGGTATCACATTTTGATATTTTGTATATAAAAGAAAAAAATCATAAACCATCACAGTTTTGAAAGACCATTTCTCAGTCTTCCTTCCTGTTTTCTGATTGTAATGCTTATGAGTTTTTTCCTATCCTGTTCCCATTTCCACTCCTTGTCATTCCCCTCCCTTTCTTTTTTGGTCTTCCAGTTTGACCTTCTTTCTGGAAATAGTCTTCCCATTCTGTGGGGAGACTCTTGCAGATTGAAAAACAAAATTTTGTGCACTTGTGTGTGTTTGTATACAAAGACAGCATAATAATCATTTAAAAAGCTCAGACTGTTTCATTGCTCTTGTGCAACTTCCTCTAAGCTTATTCTGTCTCTCTCTCTCTGAATTAGTCACTCTTCAGAAATGGAGTGTAAATACACTTAGACTCAACTGCTGCCTGAAGAATATAACAAAACAAAGATTTACTTAATTATTTGTCTT